GCTTGAGATCTCACCTCAAAACTGTATAAGTAATTTTCTAAGGGACACATTCACTTCTTCCTATGTTTTACTGAGGACGCAAAAACTCAAGCAAAAGCTACATATCCAAACTTCTGGCCTCTCTCAAGTGTTTTGCATTAACTGTTCCACAGTACAAACACAATCAACTTGGTATGTTTGAATGTTTCATTTTGTTTTTTCAAAAATGTTTTAATTAAAACAAAATAATCAGACATGCTAAACACATTATTGTCTTTTAAAGGCCACTTTAAAAATGACTATAGAACTATGGATATAAAATTCAATTGTTTGAGAAAGTGACAGACATTTTCTTTTTCTTTTTTTTTTTTTACCTGGCTGTTTTTCTAAGTTCTCAGGGCTGGTGCCACCTGCTGCCTGGGCTTTCCCCTGAGAAACAGATCTCTCAAAGGTTTGTTCCAAGCAAAGTCTGCATAGTTGAACAAACTATGGGCCAGTTCCAAGGCAGGCACTATTTTCTTTATGTAGCACACACTGAAACATACTAAATTTCATTGTAATGCATTTTTTCTAGTCTTATTAAAGATCCAAAGATAGGTACATGATCTGTTTTTTTAACTGTGGTAAGATGTATGTAATATAAAAGTTACAATTTTAACCATTTCTCCCACATGTCTCTTAAAGTTAGTAAGTAGTAAAAGGTAAAAGGTTCATTCATTCACCAAAATCAAGCCTCCTTGTCACTTTTCCAGACCAATGGATGCTGGGAAAAAAACAACCCACATGGACTAAAAGTAGGACTTTGGCAAAGTATACCTGTGGGCCAAACCTGGCCCGCTACCTGTTTATGTACAGACCATAAGCTAAGAATGGTTTCTAAAAATTTAAATGGTTGAAAACAATCAAAATACTTTGTGATATATAAAAATCATGATTGTTAATAATTACATCACTGTTAATTTTAAGTACAATAATCATATTGTAATATGGTGGTTCTAGCTTCAAAAAAAAGAGCCTTACTTTAAAAAAATTGCATGAAATTTGAATTTCAGTGACCATAAGTTTTATTGGGACACAGCCAGGCCTGTGCATTTACATTTTGTCTATGGCTACTTTTGCCCTACAAAGTCAAAGTTGAGTAACTGCAGAGACAGTAAGTACATGGCCCCAAAAGTCCAAATTAGTTACTATGTGGCCCTTTACAAAAAATGTCTGCCAACATCTGGCTTAGAGTCTCAGATGTCATTACAGACACAAAAATTCTGAAGAGGGTATACGGCCCATCATCCAAAATCCCTAATCTGTTTAAAGCATTTTCTCTTCATTATTTATTCTGTTGATACAACTATGCTAAATTGTAAGTGAGAGTACAAATAATATCTATATTAAGCATACCAATTTGCTGCTAATTAGTAAACCTAAGTGGAACTCCTTGCTTTAAGATTTATAAAAAGGTCTCATTATATCTCTCAAATAGTTTTGCCTAGGGATCAAAATGAATTTTCACAAAAAGATCAGGAGTTCTTTGATACCAAGCCAAAACTGTTTTTCTTAAAATATTCAAAGCATGAAAGTAACTGGTATGCTGTTGGTCAACTCTACTCCTCTTAGTCCCCATGTTGCACACAGGTAATTCTATTAACATTACGTAAGTCCCCAAAAGGGTCAGGGCTCTGTAGACGGCATGAAGCTCTCTCACTGTTAAGTGAACTCATGGGTTACTATATGGCAAGACACACTGGCTAATGGACTACGTCTGGATGAGGAGCTACAAGAAAATGAACATCAACTATAAAAGGCTATTCACAGCAAAGGTAACCTGCATTGAGAAGTTCAAATGTGATGAAACACCTAAGCAGGTAGCCTGCGTTACACAGAAAAGTCAAATAATTGAAGTTCACACAGCCTTTTTCATTTTTCCTATTTCTCAGTCTCCCCTGTGGTCAGTAAGTTCCAGACAGGAGTCCACCTCAGAAAGTTCATCAGTCACATGGACCTGGCTGCTTTGCTCCTTGAAAAGGCAATCTAAATCCCAACTATTAGGGGCCTCCCTGATGGCCTAGGGGTTAAATTTCAGCACTACCACCACTATGGCCAGAGTTTGATCTCCCGCCAGGGAGTTAACCTACATATGGCTCAGCAGACCTCTCCTGTCTCACCTGCTGCTCCTCTTTAGCAATGTATTTCAGTAAATCCTCCTGTTCTGCTCCCTACTCTGTCTCTGGTAAAAACTCTCAACCCCCACCTATGGCCTATACCCAGTTCTTCTATGCAGGAAAAAAAAAAAAAATCCCAGGGCCTCCCTGGTGGCACAAGGGGTTAAGTCTGAGCACTAAGAAGCTATCCACAGCCTCTGTTCGAACCAGTCAGGGAGGTGACCCACATGGCGCAGCAAACCTCTCCTGTCTCGCCTGCTGCAGTGTATTTCAGCAGATCTGCCTGTTCTGCTCCCCACTCTATCTCTGGTGAATCCCCTCATCCCCTGTACCTCTGACCTGCACCTCAGCTCTTGTATACATAAATAAATCTTTAAAAAAAAACAGATCTCACTGTTAACTTCTATCTTTCTTCTTATCAGTTGTAAAGGGAGAGGATCTCAAAGGAAGAATAGAGGGAAGAGAGATCATGTGAGGTTGGCTACACACTGTAATTAGAAGCATTGATGGGGAATGAGCTAACTGTTTTTATAAAGTCAGCATTCAAAAATGCAAACCACCACCAGTAATTTAAATATTACAAAATTATGCAGAATATAAGCATTGAAATAATTTTTTCCATCCACAAAATTTTAGAGAAAATTACAGTATCAAAAAATGTAAAATAGTAAGTTTGGCATATCCTCAGAGTAAAACGTGTTTTTTATTGGAAAGGATTTAAAAAACTAGTGGGTAGGCTCTAGACAGGATGTGATGTTGAAGACCACGTGATATCTTCCTAAAACTAAAAAGAACAAGTCACAAAAGCACGAATATCTACCAGCATGGTAGGAAAAAGAATTGGCGAGGTCCAGTGAACTTCTCACAAATCATTTCACAATGGCTATTTACTTCTCCCTGACTCAGATTCCCAAATAAAAGCACATTAAGGTTTGTGGTTCAAACTACACAGATTACATTTGAGACTTCCTAGCAAAGCAAAGGCGCCTAAGGAGAGAATGCCACCTTCTAACAAGTATAAGCAGAGTTGGCTCATTTAATAATTTTCAGAACTATTACTCTACCCTTTCCAGAAGGGTACCAGAAGAGGACCTAGTTAATTTCTACCCACACCTCTTTCTCTTTAAAGATATTAAATCCTGACCACACAGATGGCACAGTGGAGCTAAGGGGTTACTAGGTTACAGTTACTTTGACATATCCTGGCTCTCTGGAAGTTCCTCCTTCATTCTACAACATTAGTAATCAAACTATGGAAGGCCATTTGAAGGCCTCTGACCATTCAGAAGCCACTTAGGAGGCTAAGGTTTACAGCACTTAGAGACCCCTGTCCACTAATTCAAAGTCATTCTATGCCTTTTACGGGAATTAATCAGAGTGAAAGTTCATATTGCTACCTCAGAGCAAGTGAGGTATCAAGTACTTGGTGAACTGTGAATGAAGCACTATAAAAAGTATTACTAAAATATGTTTACTAACTATATGTGGGAGTGTTACCTGCAGTGTATCATTTAATCTTCACAACACCCTGCAAGGGCGTCATCTTTCAGATGAGAAAACTGAGGCTCAGAAAACTGAAGGCAAAGCCCAGAGTCATATAGTATATAACAACCAAGCCCCATCCTTTCATTAATCCAAACTGATACCTAAACAAAGCAATTTTGAGTTTTCTCTCAGCAGCAAACTCCTGTCTTTCCGACATCCAATTTTGGGTGGAGAACCCAGAGATCGGTTTTCCTACTTAGGCAAAGGAGTAATGAACCCCTCCCGGCCCTTTCACTAATGCCCAATTCTCAACACTCAAACAACCTGCAGAGAAATTTAACTGGGCCAGGCAACGCCCTTTGCCTGCCTGCTCTTCAACTTGGAAAGAGTTCTGCTGCAAAGAAGGGTGTGTGTGGAAGGTAAGCAAAGTTCCAACTTCCATCCTGGTGGTGGGCCTCACTACCCTTCACCTGGCCTTGATCTGGGGACCGGGCAACCTTGTTGAAAGAGGGAGGTTGTCCGGGACGCTGTGTAGAACCCTCAGGATAAGACCCTAAACTCTGCAGGGGAGAAGTTCCCACCAACACTTCGCTTCATCTGTCCCTGCCGGGCCAGCCCCGAGTCAGGAGGAAATTCAAAGAGGCCCCGCGGGGGGGGAGGGGAGAGCATGCGTCCAGGCCGAGCTCCGCGGGTCGTCCCAGGACCCGGACCTGCCTCTAGGAGGGCAGGCGAGCGACTCCTCCCGAGGCAGAAATCAGTGTCGGGCAGGCGGGGCGGCCGGACGGGGCGAGGGGCTGGGTGCCCGCTCTTCAGAGGGGGCGCGAGGGTCCCGGGCTGCAGGCGGGAGGGGAGGGCTGGAGCTGGGGGGCGCCTCGCGGGGCTGGTGTCGGGGCTCCTGACCCGCGGGTGCCACTAAGAGGACCGGGGCGGGGCGGTCTGCGTTTGAGGTGAGGTGGAGGAGGGTCCCGCCCGAGACGTGCCGCTGAGGGGTTTAGGGACCGGGGTCCCTGCGGCGGAGCGGACGTCCCAGCCCCGGGGAGTCGACGGGGGACTTGGACAGTCGTCCCCGATCCTGAAAGACCTAAGACGGCGGAGCCGGGGCAGTCGCTGGGAGCCTGGCGAAGGGGCGCGGGAGACACCGAGGCAGGGGAGTCCGGGCGGGGGGCGTCGCTGAGGCGGGGGGACAGCGGGCGGGCCCCGAGGCGCCGCCGCGGGGTCGGGGCGCGGGTGCTGAGGCGGGGCCGGCCGGGCCGGGGGGCGTCGCTGAGGGGCTCAGAAGATCCCGAAGGCAGGGACGAGGGCGTAGGTCCCCGGCGGGCCAGCCCGCAGCGCCCTCGGGCGGGCTCGGCGCTGGGGGGCGCCCGGGGGGCGCGCACTCACCGGGTCCGGGGCCGGGGCCGAGGCCGGGGCTGGGCGCGGGCCGGGCCGCCAGCGTGAGCGCGGCGGCGGAGAGCAGGGCGAGGCGGGCGGCGGGCGGCGCCATGGGCCGTCAGTGCGGGGCCCCGGGGCGCGGCCCGGGGGAGAGGGGGCAGCGCCGGGAACCGGGGGCGGCCATGGGAGCGGGACGAGGGGCCTGAGCGTGGCCCCGCCCCTCCCCGCCCCGCCCCGCCCTCGCCAGCGCCGCCGCCCCGGCAGCCCGAGGCTCGCACGGCGACGCGGCCAGGCCCGAGGGGCGGAGTCGACTGCGCGCGCACGCCCCGCCCCCGCGCCGCGGCTGCCACTCACGCTGCAGGCCCCGCCCCCACCCCGTCTCACCTGGGCCGGGCCCGGGAGGGCTGGGCCGGTCCGGCCGAGGGGCGGGGCTAGCAGGTGGGGCGGGGCCCAAGTCCCCGCCTCCGAGTCCCCACGCAGAAGTGTGGCCTGGCTGGACAGGGAGCCCTGCTCAGCCGGGTGGTGGCCCACACGCGGGCTCCACCGCAGGGGGAATAATCGCAACAGTAGTTTGCAAACCGCTTTTCCCTGCTTGGATCATCTTGATGGTTAAAAAAGGGTGCTCTGGAGGGTTCACGTCCCGCTCGGTCCGTCACCTGTAAAATCTTGGACAGGTTTAAAGGAAAAATAACTTTCTTCCATTTTCTCATCTGTTAAATGGGGGCGGTGGTAGGAACTACTCACAAAGTGGTTGTGCTAAATGAGGCATTGCCTGGAAACTTTTACGCGCGCGCACGCGCACACACACACACGCGCGCGCACACACACGAGCTTAGAAAATGCTGAGTTCCTTCCACCTTGCAACCGCAAAGCAGGCAGCATCCTGGGTCCCGGTTCCGAATCCTGTCACACACCCTTTGTCAGCTGGGGAAACTTTCTGGCTCAGTCTGAACCATTCCCCTGCAAAATGGAAATAAAAGATCTTTCGCAGGGATTAGAAACAAGTCCACAAGGCAGTGGGACGGCGATGATTATCTTATAGACTGGGATACTGGGTTCAGAGAGAGCGTGCTTTGCTCAGACTTTCGCCCCCACCCCCACCCCCGCGCGCCAGGCCCTTTGTCATCTCCCCACCCCCGCACCCCACTCCCCTCCGCCGCCCCGTCCAGGCTGCGCCAGTCCTCCTGCAGCGGAGGTCTTCCCTGGCCGCACCCGGTTTGGGCCTGTGGTGGGCCTCTCTAATCCCCCACACTCTTCCCACCCACCCCACCCCCCCAGACAGAGGAGATTTTCCCTGGGCTCCCGCCTAAAGAGCGGGTGACGCCCCGCGGGGCAGGTCCGGGCGCCGCGCCGGGAGCTTTCAAGTCCCTAGTCCTGGGTTTGCAAGTGCGGGCCTGCGCCCGGCGCGGCTGCAGGAACGTCTGCCTTCGTGTGCCTGCCTACCTGCCGCGCCCAGAGCGGACGACGCAGTCCCGAGCCCGCAGGCTCCTGCGCCAGCCTCAGGTACCCCGGGCCTTGCGCCTACTCTCGATCTCCGACACCAGCCCCCGCGGCTAACAGCCCCACCCAACCCCCAGCTGCTTCCAGGGCTGGGCCCCAAAGGCGCAGCTACCTCCCAAGAGGCCTCTCAATCTTAGTCCCTCTCCACCCACACGATCCACCGCTGTGGCAAGAAGAATCTTGTTCAGTCATTGTTTTCACGATGTCATTCCTGAGTTCAAGAATCCTTTGGGCCTCTTGGTAGAGATGGGGACACCCCTATCCAACCACGCCAGGTCCCTGGGGACACACCCTCCACATCCCACCTGGAATTTGCCACTCTTGCTAACCTCTCTCTTCTACAGCAATTTGGGCCCTTCCCCATCTCCGGCAGAACCTGGGAGTTCTACCTCTAACTTGGACCCTGGCAGTCAAGAGTACCTTCAAGGAAAATAAAATGAGAAGATGCAGATAAAGCCATCAGCACAAAGCAAGCAATTGGTAAACGTGGTCCTTCCTTCGTTGAGCAAATATTCAGTGAGAAGCATGCGATGAACACCACACCACAAGACAAGATGGTCCCTTCTTCCTAGGACTGACATCCTAACAGGAGAGAGGTCCGTCCACCAACATGAAAAAAAATTGAATTTCAGAGAGCCAAAAGTACTACATAGACAAGAAAAGGATGTTAACAGAGAATGATCTGTGGACTGTTTTACAGAGTGCTGGGAAAGGTGTCGGTTTTGGTTTTTTAAGATTTATTTTAGCATACAAGAACTGGGGTGTAAGCCAGAGGTATGGGAGAATGGTGGTGAGAGGATTCACCAGATACAGAGTGGGGAGTAGAACAGGCAGATATACTGAAATACTTGGTTAGCTCCCTAACTATGGCTGGAACTCAGGCCGCAGTGGTTGGTGAAAGCTTGATAGAGCTGAAACTTAACCCCTGCGCCACCAGGGAGACCCCCGGTGCTCAGAAAGGTTTTTAGTAGAGCTGGACACAACTCTAGAGTTTACAAGGGTCTTTGTTTCTCATCCCGGTTTCAGAGGAAGAATTAGGAAGAGGCAAACAGGAATTGAAAATTAGGTTTAAGTCTGGGGATTCATGGTTCATTATGGCAGCCTCAGTCTGTCCTGCCCCTCTATGGGATGGTCACCACTGCTGAGGGGGTACCAGGCCCTTACCTTCAATTAGCTCTCTCTACCTTGTTGTACAACCAAGATGGGCTGTGTAATTTGCAGGGCCAGTGATAAATGAAAATGTGGGGACCCTTGTTCAAAATTATTTAGTTTCAGGACGGAGACAACAAAGCATTAACCAAGTGCAGGGCCCATGAAGCTGACTTGCACAACTCAGAAACGGTGTGCAAACCCCTGCCCCCACTGGTGGCTATGAGAAACAGCCCTCTAGCCTTCCCTGGGTCTCCCTCCCTGATTTTCCAGCTTAAAGCCCAGGGCAGGTGGTGGAAACAGTGCACACAGGCTAAAAATATAGCCCTGCAGGTCTAGGTCAGGGCACTTCATGGTTCAAGGTCTTTTGCTCAGTTATGCGGTCTTGGCCTTTGGCAACAAACAGCCCAAGATATTCATTTCAGTGTTTCAGTTAGCAGCTTCATTTCATGGAGAAAGAGTGAGGAGATTGACTGTAGGTACTGGGTCTCCATATAGATGTTGATGTCTGTCTGCCTGGTTTACCTGCTTGTACTCTGCAGTCAGGCCCTTTGATTTCCAAGAGGGCAGCTGGATTTGCCAAGATACTGAGAGAGCTCAGCTGGTGGAGCTTGGGATGGTTTCTGCTCAAAGGCAGTCATATTGGGGAGAGCACTGGATGAGGAGCCTGACTATAATAATTATAGCAAACATTTACTGAGGACTTTATTAAGCTCTAGGCAACATTTGTCTTTACATTCCATATAATCCCTTTGAGGGAGACACTTTCATCCATTCCCTCCTAATACAGAGAGGTTAAATGGTTTGCCCAAAGGTCACATAATGGTGAAACTGGGTTTTGAACCCAGACAGTTGGACTCCAGGACTTAACCATCATGGTGAATTGCCTCCTTGTTCTTTTGTTGCTCTGGCAACAAATACGTACTGAGTAGCCCAGGGCTGGGATGACGTGAGGCAAGTGAAGCATTTACCTCAGGCACAAATGAAAGGGACCCTCCAAAACTCATAATTATTTATTAAATAATTAAGCATTATTTAATAAAGTTTAAAATGTATTAATTTAATGAACAATGTTTTCAAAAGCCTAAATGAATGCCAAAAACATTCACAATGAACAAAATATCAAAAATGTAAATAAAAACAGAATCTATAGTCCTGATTTTCCTTTTGCTCAGGCTTGACTCAGTATAGTACTGTTTACTGCTCCTGTTCCCCCAGGTTTCTGTGCCAGGCAAGTAGTGATGAAAAAATTTCAAAGAAGTAGTAGTTTGTTTTAATGTGGATGAAGGGAGAGAAAATATTTGGTCTTCAACATGATGAATTAAAGGTATTTATGAAGCATCCAGGTGACCACATCTGAGAACTCAGTGTCAGATGAGAAAGGGCTCAGGGTGGGCAAACACCCTTATTTCATACACTTGGCCCACAATAGGTGGGTATTTGGCACATGTGGTCTAAATCACTGGTCCTCGGAGTTTGCATCATAGTTCAAGAATCTTTCCAAATTCTCTCATCCAAAGTTTTTCTCTCCTTTCCTAAACCTTCTACATCACAAACCTCAGATATGTTCCCATATGGGTGGGGAAGTTTACTGCTTGGGTGTTAAAACAAAAACATCTGAAGATATTAAAAATAAGTAAATTCCATAGAATTTTTGGGGTTAAGCATAAAGGAGGAAGATGAGAATTAATATAAATTGGCTCAGTTTCCTCTATATTAACTGATTTTCCAGAAAGAAAATAGCACCTAAGAGATGTTGAAAAGAAAGGTAGTAGTAAAGAAAGGGAAAAAAGAAAGAAAGATTATAGGAGCTAAAAATACAGTGAGGAGAGCTTGGCTAAGCATCAAAGAAGGGCAGATGTGTTTCCAAATAGAAGCCATGGTTTAGGTATGTCAGGAAGCACAGTTCCAAATGATGAACAAATGATGGGTGGGAAACAAAGGCTATTTAGGCTGAACTCAGCAGAATAAAAAAAGTTTCATTAGAGAATGAAACTTAGGAAAGGCTTTTTAGCAACGTGGAAGCCCTACTGCCTCAACCCAAGTTCTTTGAACTGTGTATTGGTACCAATGATGAAAACTCTTGCCAATGGACCGAATAGAGTCTTTCTACTTCAAGTTATAATTCTGAACAACCTTTGATGGAACAATCTCTTTTAAAAAATAGTCACTTTCCTAAGGATATCCTCTGGTACTTCCTTTCCTTTGCACCTAAGGAAGCATGGGATATTCTGGACAACTCCCACCACCAGAGGGAAATATACTAGTCTATGAGGACACTGAATCTGACAAGTGCGTAGTGAAGAGGGAACATGGGGAAGAAATTGCATGATACCCAAGTCACATCAGAATCATTGCTTGACTTCATCTTAGACAGATGCACCTGAAGGTCAAATGTTGGATCGTGTAACTCAGACCGTGGGAAATACAGTCTCAACAAAGGGTCAGATGAGTGAACAGTCCACAATAACATTAGTAAGAAAATTCTTTATTGAGTGCTTACTATGTGCCAGGAGCCATACCAAGGGCTTCACTTGCATTGTCCCATAATCCCAGGGTATGTACTACCACGTCCCCATTTTACAGAGGAGGAAAGTAAGGTTTCGAGACATGAACTTACTGGCCCATTGAGAGATGGATTGGGGATGTCAAGTCATGCAAGCCAACTCCTGAAAACAAAGAAAGTCTCAAGACAAGGACTAGAACTGGGCCCAGGTATGGTACATTGATGGGCTGACCAGATGAGAGGCAAAGCATCAGTGAGAGCTCTGCACTCAGCCTCTGCTGGTTATTAGCTATGGGACCTGAGATACTGTTCTTGAGCAATTTGTGCCTCAGTTTCTCCATTTGTAAATTAGAAATAAAAGTCACAGTATTTTTGGTAGCATTTCATGAGCTGATGCTTATATGGTGCCCAGAACAGTGCCTGATATGGAATAAGTATTCGATACAGATTTTATTGTCATAGGAGAAATAACACAGACTAAATTACCCTAGTTCTAAGGTATATGTTATCTATTGAATTACACTGAAGGCAGAATTTTACTGAATTTTAAGAGTTTGGATCAGCTGTCACCCACATGTACATCTGTTTTAGGAGATGTCAAGTAATTCCCTTGAGCCAGAGTAGCGTCACTTGGTCATTGAGTAAAAGGCCTAGGAAAGTAAAAACAACCAATGAGGGCGTGGAAAGAGTAGATGGGGAAGGACAAGTAAGAAAGAGAAGAGCTACTTCTTGTATGCTTTTCTTGCAAGATATTTTCCTTCTGTCCCTGTTATGCAGAGTAAAGGCCGAAGGTAGCCCAAAAGCCAGGAGCCAGTTCTCTGGGATTCACGGGCTTTGAAAGGATGCTGGCCTGCACAGTCTTCCTCCAGACGTTCGCAAACCCTTCCCAAAGACAAACCCTTTCCAACGTCCTGCTCTGAAACTGACCCACCTCTCTGGAGGTGAGGCCAGGGCTCACCACTGAATGGGACCCATTGTCCTCCTGATCATGTGAGCCCAGATGCCTTCGACCTGGAGGTGGTTCTACTGAGGCATGTGGTGCGTTCTGCCTGCAGACTTTGATTCACTCCAGGGACATTAAAAAAATCAAACAGGCAACACATGTGATTCCAGGATCGCCTGCCAGATTCGTACGCTCTTTTTCCATCATTTCACTCTCCTCCCCCTCAAAGGGTGCCTCCTTTGGCATTTTGCGTACGAAAAATCGAAACCACCAACAGGACGAGCACCTGATAAGGAGTGAGGCATTGCCCAAGAGTTCCCAGGAAGAAGCGTCTTTGTTCTCGTTTCAAGCCCTTGACACCGCTAACAGCTCTAATTACTGCATTTGCCATGGGATGTAAAATAAAACCACATTCCAGAAACCATGTACTCTCCTGGGGAGAGACACGCAGGGAGAGGTGCCCAGGGCTGCAGGAACGTGTTCTTTCGTTGCTGGTCCCTAACCTTGGCAGCTATTCTGAGGATTTAACAGTACCTTCTTTATGTCTTTGGAGAAGGGCACTTTTGCACATGTAAGGATACATCCCACTACCTGTATCCACAAATCTGGTCTGCATTTTTTATTATGTTGCGTGCAAAGCATGCTTCTTAAGAAAGTGAGGACCTTCAAAATTCACCCAACTCATTTTAGGGGAAATGAGGACTGCAGAAGTCCTGAGGCTCATCAAAATAGAACTTCATCCAACATAATTTAACTATAAAATCTGATGATGTAACACCCACCCACACCCACATCACAAACCAAAGTGACATCACAAATAGTAGAGATAATGGTATAAAACTGCATGTGAGCCAAAATCTAAACAAACTGCAATTTGCCCACACATGACTGAGGCAGAGAAAGACAGGTGACTAGAAATACTAAAACAAAACAAAACAAAAACAAAGGAGAAAAAAAGGAAAAGAAAATACATATTTCTTCCCCCTACTTAAAGCTAGCTAAAATAAAATTTAAGGCAACCGAAATATGGTAAGGTGATTTTATTTTTTTGTAGATGTTTCTTAGAAAACCAGGTCTCTTTAAGTATGTGATTCTAGTCTTTACAAGTTGTTCTCTTATTCTTGGTTGGCTCCAGGAAATGGAGGCCAGCATCATTTACATTGTGATTTGGCCTTGATGGACCCGAGTGTATTTCTCTTTTAGCAGCTTTTCTTAGTTTACGCAGTCTGGTTAGAAAATGTATTCAGGGTTTGGCAGGACTTTCCCTGCTATTATTTCTGTGTAACAGCATGGTTGAAGAGTGACTACAGTTCCTATAGGACTCTTGAGCGATCCTGTCTCCTATTTCTTACCTGCTGTAGGCTCCCTTAGCTTTCCAGCAGAGAGGAATTGTCTTTCAATGTAAAAGCTCCCTGATTCTACTTCCAGTCCAAGCCAGTTCTTTGAAAACCTGAATATCACTATAACCTTTTGAAGTTTCTATCACTATCCTACTCAGTAAAAAAGGCTTTGGTGAGCAGGAGAGAGGCTATGTGGAAAGATTTCTAAGACCTGTAGGGAAGGAATGACCTATAAAAAGATGTTAATACTTGGCCTCCAAAGTAGACCTTCTTGTCTCTGCTTGAGAACTGGTTTATTTCTTCCCCTCCCACTTATAATTCTAGCATCCAATCTGTGTGAGAAGAGACCCCAGCATCCCTACCTATGGACTCCGACAGTCTATATTACTGAACACCAGGTTTCAGGACTGCTACGTGGATTCACCAGCTCTCACCAACATCTGGACGGCCAGAACATGTGCAAAGCAGAGCATCAATGCCCCAGCATCAGGTACGACTTCTTCTTGGGAAGTTGTAAAGAACCCATTAATTGCCAGTTCATTCTCCCTAGTTAAGCTGGTACTGAGGCGACAACTGAAGGATAAGTGCTGCCCAGTACCACGAAAGTTTGGAAAAACAAAATCCGTGAAGAGGTTCAAGCCCAAGGACAATTCAGCACTGAAAGTCACCCAGCGGGGCACAATAAGAAACTCCATCAGTCCCAAGAACAAGCGGCCAGTGGGGCAGTGGCTGGGCTCACCGAGGTGCAGGAGGCCTGCGGGAGGCAAGAACGAGGTAGATGGTGGCTGGTGGTGGAGAAAATGTCATGGGGTGGGGAGAGGAAAATGTCAGCTAGGGAACACTTAATGCTTTAGAGATTTATATGAAGTGAAGAAAATCCTAAAGTTAAAGACAGGGTTGTAGGGGGTGGAGAGGTGGCAGCCACAGCATGATAGAGAGAACACAGGCCTGGGGTCATGCAAAGGGCTTTTGAACAGAGCCTTGTGTAGAGCAAATGCTTAGGATCCTATGGGGTTTCAGTAGATGATCATTGTGGTTATTAATCTTCTAGTCAAGTGGCCTTGGGCAAACCAACTTCAATTTCCTAGCCCTTAAAGCAGTCTCCAGTTGACTTTAGAGGAGTACGGGGAACTCACAGTGGTATACATGAAGGAGTTCAGTCAGCTAGAACATGCTAGACAAATGTTAGTTGTTGCTGTAACCAAGACTCTGGAACACAAATCCCAGATAATCATTATGAGCTCCCTTCTCAAGTCTTAGCTTTGACTTTTCTGCTTTCTTCCTGGCTAGAGTAAAGAAAGTTCAAAGGAGAAAAAAGTAACAGTCCGCCAAGATCTTAAGAACAGATATGCTGAACCTGTGGCAGCTACCCAAGTGCCACCCCGGGACACTGGGACAGCAGCCTGGAAGGGCCTAGTGTTGCTTCCTGAAACCAGAAAGATACAGTTGTCGGATACGCTAACCATTCACGGCCTCCCCACAGCCGGTTACCAGGCTCTGTACCACGCTGTGGTTGAGCCGATGCTGTGGAATCCTTCAGGAACCCCCAAGAGGTACAGTTTGGAGCTGGGCAAGACTATTAAACAAAAGCTCTGGGAGGCTCTATGCAGGCAGGCTGCTCCTCCTGATCTTCAAAAGCACCTGTTGTCAGGTAAGAAGCGGCTGGAGGTCCACGAGGAGCCCGTGCTCAAAAAAGGGCCCAAGTTACAGAGCGAGAAATAGAATAGGAACTCACAGCACTACGTTATTCTCTGCTGGATGTCTGAGAAATAAACATCACTTTTCACCTTCCGTGTAATCTGAGTGCTTTGCAAATTAGTAACTACCTTCCTACGGACATAAAACCGATGGCCAGAGAGACTGTGGGCCCCTTTCACCCCACGATTAGGTCATTTCCAGGACTAGATGCTTGGACCTTTTTCCTTACAAGCCCCTTTTCCTTACATGGGTTTGAGGGCCTCTCCATTTTCCAGGTAGGAAAAGGCTGGCAGATGAAGTCAATAGTTTATATCCAGCCTATGTACATGCTCTGATTTTAAAAGGCAAACTAGATTCCTGAATGACCATTTCCCTCCTTCCCTCTACCTAGGACTGAGTAGAAAAACTACCTCTGCCTCAGGGACATCCTCCCTCACACTACTTAATGCTATCCCATGGCACAACTAAATCCCCAATAACCTGAACTCTATGTTAACAGGTGAGGAAAACAGAGGGATGCGCCCGTGAGCGGGCTGAAGTTAAAGGCACTGCCTTTACGCAGACCTCTGCTTTGCGCAATCTTTTAGACCTTTACCAAAAAGAGTAATGACAACATATAACACATACTTGATAAAATTGTATTTTTTTTACAGTCATTTGTACAGTTTGTTACAAAACCATAGAAGACTACAACTCGTTTTAAAATCATTTTTGGTCAGCAAATACGTAAAATCTGTGTGCAATTATCATGTATTTACAGGGCCTCATGTTAGTCATTTTCAATGATTACTCCAACAATGTCACACTCTCAACATAAGACATGGCTTAAGATAAATATATTAGTAAATAAATATTCTGAGAACATATTTCCATAAATGAAATGTGCTGCTATACATATACAGAATATACATAAGTTGTTTTCTAGCCTTTAAAACATTTTTTAAAAATGGTAATGTTGGTGAAGGAGCCCTTAGATTATTTTATTACAAAATCTTTACAGCAAAGTCTATACAAAATATCTTTTAAGTGCTATGGGAGAAAATCTTAGAAAACATTTTAAAATAGTGCCTTGTTAGACCAACACAATAGTTTATATATAATGAATAGAAAAAGGCAGTTCTGTTTAGAAAATAATACTCTTGATTAGTAATTATTTTTTTCAACCTCATTTTAAAAGCATTAGTCCTGTGTGAACTTTTGAGTAGAAACTAGCAGCACGTAAGGGAGGGTCTGAATAGAGGGACAGCAGATGGGGCTTTATAAAATGGCTGGGCTTCAGAGGAGAGGGGGAAGAGACAGAGTTAAAGCCAGCTCACTGGGGCTATGTCTACAAAGAGGTACCTTGTTGATCAGCACTCCAACTCCCCATTCTTCAACTGGTTCTAGCACTCTTCAGATCACATGGATATCCAACACCCTGGGTTAGGCCACGAGACCACGCCTAACAGTTATACTCTTGATTTGGAGGGTGGTTCTCAATGGAAAATGCGATACTCCTGGCTTCTACAGCTATAGAATCCCCACACCGAGAGGCCACAAAAAAGGTACTAATCATTACTGGAGTCACATCTTCAAAAGCATTTCTCTTGATTCAATGGTGAGAATAGAACTGATTACTATATTTTGGTTTCCCTCCTTCCCCCAATCTGATGAGCAAATACAAACTTAAAATAACGGCTGTTAATCAAAAAATTTCATTTTTGTTCCTACCATCTTACAAACTACAAAAATTAAGTGTGCTTTTGTTGTTATGCTCAGTTATTGCTCTTTCAGATGAAAATTGGGCACATTTATTTTTATAAGCCAAGTTGAAGCCACATTCTCTATTGCTTAAGGCTAGTTAAGAGTGGTTTTCCTGCCAGGACTGAAGAAAGCCACTTTAGGGGTATGGTTTCAGACAAGGAAGATAATATGCACTCAAAGGCATTAAAAAACAAAAAACAAAACAAAAAAACTCCACAAACAAAAAAAAATCTCAACAATGAGAAGCTCCTTTTTGCAGTTCATGTTAAAAGCCACGCCCTATTCCCCCCCCCTTCCCTAAATCACGTAATACAAGCTGTCGTCCTCAGCAGCTGCTACTCCTGGCCCAAGAAATAAAGGCGGTCCAGATCACATGTCAACAGCTTAGGCGCTTCTCACACCCTCGCCAACAGGTGTGCTGGGCACAGGCCTGGGGGGAGCAGCCCACAGGGACAGCACCTCAGAGGAACATGCTCACCATGATGAGTTCTAAAATGGCAAGTGGCTCAATTATTTGACGTAGGAATTTCTGTCAAATGCTGGCTAGGAGTAAGAATTTCCTCATCATAGACTGGGTTTTTGAGAAAAAAGGATTCTGGTGAAATTCTCATTCAAAACCTGGGCTGATTCCTCTGATTCCGACTAGAAAGCTGTCATCACAGTTGCCCGGGCACCTGGCAACCCAGGGTGGTCTTGAATTTCCCACCTACTGGGGCCAGGTTGCAAAGTTCCCATTCTGCACGTGAGCATTTCAGATGGCAACAAATATCTGCTGGAATAAATGAATAAATAAAAGTGACCTGAAGAGTTAGTGAATGCAAGAGCTAATGTGATTAATTTCTTCTAAAATTTTTTTATAAGAACAAGAAATATATTGGACAAAAAGGATGACAATCCCTGATCTGAAATAGCTTTAAATAGATTCTTTCTCCTTCAAAACATTGAAGTATCTTTTAAAAAGAAAATGGTTTGTTTTTAAATTTTCTCACCTAAAATGGGGGGAGGGGAAACACTGGAAAAATATATAAAAACCTACCCTTTGAGTCTAAACTATCTGATAGTCTCTTTCTCTTTGTCTCATGGAGAATCAATACATAATAGTGCATTAGGTAGAAAGGATAGTAGACATTTGCAGGTGAGATGAGCCGTTTCAGCTAGGAGGCAGAGCTGAATAACCCTGAAGCTGTGTTTCCTTAGGGAAATGGATGGGAAACATACCATATTCAAAGGAAGCTTGGAGCAGAAACAGTGGGGTCACGGCCTTATCACCCCAGGAAAGCAGCCCAAGGACCCACAGAAACAAGTGCCCACAGCTCTGCCCACTATGTCTCTGCTCTGGATTAACAAGAGCACTCTCCCCCAGTCCCATCAGACACAAAGGCTGCAAAAACTACATTCCTCTTGGGTGTTTGCCAAACACCCTGTGGAACCATTTCTGCAGTCAGTGGAAGATGTCCAAGATCAGGGTTGAGAACTCCGTCCTTTTACTTAGGACAGTGACCTGAGGGGACAGACTGAGGACGCTGGACAGAATCATGCCTGTCACTCTGCTGTTTATGTAGCCAGGGCTTGTTCAGGCTCCTCAGTGCTGCGGACCTTCTGCCCTATTCTTAGATGTTTTTCTTCAGCTGTCTAAAGGTGTGGACTGGAGACTCTTAACTTCTGACAAGGCCTGAAATTTTGTTTCATTGGGATTTGCTACAAGAAAGAAAGAGGCAGCATTGCATTGTTCCTCAGAGTTTATACCCATATCAACTAGCTTTACTTCAAGTTTCTGGTTCATTTTCTAAGGCAGGTGTAGCCCTGAGCTTTTCAAAGGCCTGAGCTCCCTTCTGGGAGACAACAGTATCTACACATGATGTGGTTCAATTAATGCAGCAGTGATTTTTTTTTCAGCAAAAGTTGGCGGTTAGGGTTCTTTAAAATATATATTTAAATAACTTTTTACATTTACATATAACATTTTTAAAAAACAAAGCAGAGAACTCAATCCCACACACCTCGAAACCCCAAGCACACAAACGTACAATACAGAAGAGTAACATGTTATCAAAAGACTGAGAATTTTGTCTGTTGGTTGTTAATGGGATAGGGTTGGTTTTGCCACAAGTGGCTCACATTTTGGGTTGAGAAGGAGGGCTCTCTTTATTACCACTTTTGTGTTTGTCAAAGCTAAAAAAAATTTTTTGTTTTCTGAAGGAAGTCAGAGTTTGGAGTCACCGTATAGTTCCCATTTCCACATAAGATTTCCTTCTGAGCTCAGGCTCCCGGGCCACCGTCAGCTGGGTTAGATTTCTGTCCTGGGAGAGAAAGAACAATTATCAGGGGAGGTAGCTGGCACCGCAGGCTTCAGGTACAACCTGCAGGGACGAGGCAAGGGAACTGGGTGCCCATTTCAGTTTCCAGGAAATGACAGTTCCCAACGGATGGACTGTATATACAAAGCGGTAGAGTCCTTTTCTGAAAGTTTCTCGTTCTGGGCTGAGAGCATAGGTGCTACCTAGTGAGTCAGTCTCCCTCATATGTTAAGTTTAAAACCTTCTGAAAGGTACCATGAACATATTCTGCAGAAAAGATGTGTGTGAGGCACTACTGCAGACACTGGGAAGAGCAGCAGTCTAGAAGACCCCCTCAGAGTTTCCAGATCTGAAGACAAAGTAATTTCAGACCGTGATAACACGAGAAGTCCATAGAGGGTGCGAGTGACCCTGGAGGGGCCTGACTGGTATCACTCCACTGAGATCTGGAGGAAAGCAGCAGCAGAGAGGTCTGCAAGCTGGAACGAGCTTGGTGTGTTGGAGGAATAAGATGGAGGCCACAGGGAGCTAATGTAGCAAGCAAGGAGAGCAGTAGGAGGTGGTCAGGCAGGTGTAGCCCTGAAGGCCAGTTCATATAGAACTGGGTAAGTTTACATTTTTTAAATTCTAAAGGAAATGCCAAGTCATCCAAGGGTTTTCTAATGTAAAGGCATAGACATGTTTCAGAAGAGGTCGCTGTGGTCCTCATACAGAATTGAAGGCAAGGCCAGCAACAGGAGACCAGTCAGAAAGCTACTGTCCTCCCCTGGAGAGAGAAAATGCATCTGAGGAGAGTAGCTGGGGAGGCAAAGTTGGTAAATTTTGGATATACTTTGGAGGTAGCCTTTGTCACAGTGCTACAAAAAGGTGCTGAACTGCATGCTGTTTATTTCTGAGACAAAATGTGCAGAAAATTTATAGCAATTTGACAACGTGTGCTGAATCAAGTAATAAAAATTCTGGGCTTGTATTTTGTGTCTTTTGCTAAGTTTCATTTTTTTTGGAATTTAATTTACTGTTCTGGGGGGAAAACAAGCACCTGTGGTCTTCACAAATAAGTTGAAAAGCCCTGGACACTGTGTGAGAGGCAGGGCAGACACAGGGATGTTATGTGGGCTTTGGGCCTGAGCATCTGGTTGGGGAGTCTTGGAGAAGGGTGTAGAGGGACAAATATGAGAGTGGTCCTGTTGATATGATAGGCTGGGACACTTAAGAGGTGGGGCGGGAGTCAGGGATGGGGGAGAGGTTGGGAGGAAGAGGTGGCAGCGTGTCACAGAATCTTGGAAGTAGTGGGCCCAGGTGGTATGGAACTCAGAGGAAGGGCCGGGTAAGAAAGACTTGGAAGTTATCAGGTACAATGTTTAAGCCAATGGCTCAAAGGAAGTCACTCAGAAAACGACTGTGGAGAGAGAAGAGGTCCCAGTGGGAATTTCTACTCTGTCTACTGTCATCTCCTGCTCTCACCTGTAGCTTCAGCAGCCATGGCACTGGACTCCTGAGTGTCCTGGAGGGCACTGGGGAAGCTAGCCCTGGCAGGGCAACACAGAACCTGCTCTTCTTCCTGGGAAGCTCCCAGGCCCCTGTGGGGCCAAAGGGCATTTATGCCCAGTGTCCCACCCCAGTGGCCAATGTTGTGGGTCCCTTGGCAGTCCGAAGGCAGGCCTAAGTCACAGTCCACATCCTCCGGAATGATGGGGATGCGTTGGCTCAGGTCCCGGGCGCCTGGGTGGCAGCTGGGCGAGGGCTCCTGGCTGAGTGTGTACTGCACGCTCACCGAGCAGTCCTCAGTGTAGCAGCCACTGCCTCCTCCACCAGTGTGGGCCACCTGCTTCTCTTCATAGAAGCAGCAGGGCAGGCCCTCATATTTCACCCCATCTGTCCTGGGCAAATGGTCTGGGTGAAGGCTATACAGGCCCTGGGAGCTTCCAGGCTGTGATTCCCCACCTGTAGGGCCACAGCCTTCACAGAGGGGGGTGCCCAGGAACAAGGTGCTGCCCCCAGCTGCTCCTCTGCCAGGCTCCAGTGCAGATGGCTGGGGCTCACAGCAGCAGGCACATGATGGCCCCTCACGGGCCCCCTTCCAGGTCCTCCTGAGGTCTGGGATGGTCCCAGGAGAAGCCTCCAGCCCCACTTCTGAGGTAGAGCTATTGGGCCCCCTGTGCTCCAGGGAGGAGTTGCTGCTATAGTTCATTTCCAGGCTGCAGGTGGACAGCTGGTCCCCAGAGGGAGAGGCAGGGCCAGGCCAAGGTTCTCCCCGCCCAGCACCTTGACTGTGGGTTGTCAGGAACTCCTCAGGCGGTGGGGAGCCCTCTAGATGCATGATAGGTCCCCGGTTTGAGCTGCCTGAGCCCCCCACGTCACTAGCACGGCAGGGGCTCCGGCTGCGGTAGATGAAGGGATCATAGTCGCTGCTAAGGGAGCTGCGGAAGGTGGAGCAACTCCCATACACGCCCTGGTTGCTGACCTCAGTGCAGTCCACCACAGAGTCACTGGAGGAGCAATGACACTGGCCAGAGCTGCTGCTGCTGCTGCTGTCACTGCCTGGGCAGTCAGCCAGGTAGCCACTGCACACAGAGCGATGGCCATGGTAGCAGCTGAAGCTGGATGTGCTGCCACTCTCCAGGTGGGAGGGTGGGGCCATGTGCACCATGGTGGGGAAGAGCAGGCTACCGCTGCCATTTGGGGGAAAGGCACGGGACTGGCCCCTGGGAGCAAGGCTGGGTGGGGCTGGACTCTCCTGCTCGGGGTAGCTGAGGCCCTGGAAGTAGTAGTGTTGGTACATGGTCTCGTACTGGGAGAAGCAAGCTGCCTTGGAGAAGTTGCGGCCACTGAACTTGGGCCTGCGGAAGGGGTGGGCTGGTGAGTAGGCCCGGTGCTCCAGACCACAGCGGTGAGGGGCCAAGGTGTGGTCCAGGTGGAGGGGTGGGTAGCCGCGGATGTACGCGGGGGTCTGAGGCGAATAGAGGCTCTGCTCCCCATGATGGTCCACAGTCAGCAGCGTGACAGGGTTACCATGGGAATCCATGCTTGTTCTCGTTGGGTAGGCTGGGATAGCATTGGTCCTGTGCACGCGGCCAGGGTAGTGTACCGGCAAAATCACTCTCTGCTGCCGGCCACGTGCCAGGTTGCCGGTCTCCACACAAACGGTGCTTGGGTTTCCCTTTTGCTCTAGGGAGAGGAGGAAAACAGTCAGCAGGGATGAGCACTTTGGTGCTAGGCGCAAAAGGGTGAAGACTAAAGCAACAGTTTTGGTCAATGCCAAGGTACTCAGTCTCATGACTCTGGCCCATTCTAAGCCATGACACAACTCAACTGTATTGTTAGAAGTTGAGCTATTTTTCTGTTTGGCAACTGATCACTCCTCTAAAGGCCCATCTCCTTCTGTTCTGCCTGTCAAAGGCACCATCGGGAGTTTGCAGAGAGCAACACAGACACCAAGATGAAAGGTGTTCTTCTTCTTGGAAAAAACAGCTGCTTGGAGTGTACCTTACATTCCTGCCCTCTACGTTCAATACCACAGTGAACGCAGGATCAACATCACAACCCTCCCAACTCCCATTGTCTCCTGTGGCCCTGAGAATAACAACCCCTTGGGGTTGGGGATAGATAAGCATCACCACTTCATTTCCACTAAAGAGACTGTGATCTTAAGGGGCCAGATGCTTTGTCTAAGGTCAGGAAGTTGGTTCATGTGAAAACCAAAACTTGAACTCAAGGCAATTCTCTTAAGAGTCTGGAGGCATGAGGACCCCCCAAAACTCAAGGTCCCCACGCCTCCTAGTCCTGAGAGGAAGTCTGCAGAGGTTTTGCTCGCTTACCAGCTTGCAGCATGTCACGTTCTTGTTATGACACTGGGTAGGGAAAGTGACTCTTCAGTAATGACTGAGGCAGGTGACAATTACCTATGATGTTGTGGCGACAGTGGGGGCAGGTGTGGTGCTGCAGAAGCCAAGGATCCACGCACTTCCTATGAAAGCGGTGAGTACAGGGGATAACCCGAAGCTCCTGGGGAGGGAGAGAGGACACACAGCCTGAAGTAATGGTACAGTGGAAGACAGTTCTGCCCTCAGCCCTGCATATGCTTCTTCCTTCAGAATGCAGCATGCGCTGAGGAGCTGTGTTCACCATGCCAGTGTCCAGAGGTTCCCTTCCTACCTTCCTCCTCAGTTCTATTTATAGGTTAGCTCCAGGACCCATCAACCAGCCACTACCACAGTCCTCAGGGCTAGGAAGGAAGCACAGAAGAGTCCCTTTTCTTGACCCTGAAGGGCACTCACATTCATGCCTCACATAGGGGAAGCCTTGTGCCAGTGTGGATGGGTGGAGAGAGAGCTAAGTATACTCTAAGACACCTCTGGGTGCCCCAAATGAGGATGAGAAGAAAAAATGCCCAGGAAACTGGACTGACAGTAGGATAGCAAAGGGGCAAAACTCAACTGTCTTCTTCACTGGATCCTGAACCTCACGCCAGGGGCACATAGGTTTATAACACAGCAACCTATGTGGAGAGGAGGTAACGGAGTTCTCTTTTGGAGGTAGAACTACTTCTAGAGTTCCTGAGCCCAAGTACCCTCCAAATTTGCTAATTTTGCTGCTTATCCATTCTCTAACCAGTTAGACACAATGCTATTCAAACTAATACTAACACCTAATACTGTACTTGATGGTGTGCCAAGAGGTTTACCTGCATTTTCTCATGTAACGTGTGAGCACCTGGAAAGCAGGTCAGTCTTGGGTCCATGTCACAAGCGCATGCACCAAGAATGATCAAGTCACTTTGCCAAGATCAAAAGCTTGAACCTGCGTGGGCCAGGATTAGAACCCAGGCAGTCTGCACCTAGATACTGTGCATGACTGACACTTGAAAGGCCTCTGAAAAAACTCATTTTTCACCTAGCAGTCTACATAACAGTGGTCTGCAATTAAATCTGAATTTTGGGCAACTCAAATTGCATATATTGTATGTGTACACAGGCTTCTGTCTAGAAAGAGATTAAGTCCTCTAGCTTTTGAAAAGCTGTGGGAAAAGGACATCGTCCCTCTCCTTGTAGGTCCTGGGCACCTCTGCTGACATGTCCATCATTTCACCCAGATGGGCTCTGCTGTTACCTCTCCGTCGATGTACTTCTCAAGGCAGATGGCACAGTCGGATGTGGAGCTGCTACTGAGTGTATCCAGGGCTCCACAGCTCCCGTCCCGGCGCCCCTTGCTCTTGGAGTTGAACTTTCTGGTTTCCATCTTCTCTAGAGCCTGCACGGCCAGTCTGTTCATGGAATTCTGTGTGGGAAAATGTGGTGCATGTTAGGGTCTAGGATGTATCAACAAGTGGTAGACACCCCCAGGGCCACAGCACTCGATGCTCCTGGCTAGGTAAACACTAGTCTCCATGCAGATCAGAATAGATTTGAAAATTACTAAAAAAATTCAGACTGCCACAAGCATAGATTTTTTTCCCCAGCCTGAGTGTTCATGATATCAACCCAAGTTTTTCCCAAGTGGCAGTGCTGCAGAGCTCAATTACTTGACTCTGCCACAACAATGCCAGGCTCTGTTTTTAATCTCATTTACTTTCTTTTATGAAGAAAGCTCTGAGGGTAAATGAGACAGTGTGTGAGGGCTCAGAACCTGACAAATCAGATGAGCTCAATAAATGCAAGCTACTGTTCTACTAGTGGTGGCACTCAAGCCCTGTGAGAACTCGATGCTTCTCTTCTCAACAGATTGCCTCCCACGGACCACCCTCTCTTTTTTCAGACCACTGTCTGTCATCCAGCTACACATTTTAATATCTAGATTCCTGCTTATTTCTTCACCATGCTCCACACACAGATTCTTCATTCTTATAAGCTCTAAGTGAAGTGACATCCGGGGTACAAGAGTGGTAACTCTGTTAATGGAAAACTACCGGGAGAGTTTAGCAGATGCGAATTTGGATTCAGCAGGTTTGGGGTGGGGTCTGAAATCTGCATTTCTTCCAAGCTCCCAGGTGATGCTGATGTTGCTGGTCTCCAAATCGTATCTTTTTTTTTTTTTTTCTTCCAGATCATATCTTATATGAGGATTAAGGCTCTAGGTCTCCACATAACATTTAAACTTTTTTTTTTGGCGGGAGGAATCCTAGGTGGAAACTTTTCTAATACTCAGCCTTTGCAGGGCTGGCTCTTTTGGAACACAGAAGGCACAATGTTATAAGCTTTACTTTGTTTTTCTCCATCTTTGCTAATTCTAGACCACTGGGAACAAGCTGCAGAGCTCAGGCCCCATCCTTGGTTTTCACCAGTAATAAGGCAAAGTGGATCACTGTTTGCAGGCTGCTCTGAGATATTACCTGACTGCGTCGTTGCTTCAGCTTGATTTTGACAAGGAGGATGAGGCACACCAAGGAGACCACGACAAAGAAAGCCAGGAAAATCCCCATGTCAAAGTATTCAGTGGGTTGCTGGAATAGAACACAGACACAATGGCTCCTCAGCCTGGGGATCAGCGCGAGGGCTGTAGGGACTCTGATTGGAATAAGGATGGGGCAACAGGGGTGTGTTTCCCCTGGTCTGCAGGAAACTCCTGGGGTTCTGCTAACATACACACTGGCGTGTTATCCAGGTCTAGCTGGTACCTGCGGCATGGACTTGGGGGAGGCCTGCAGCAGTTTCAGCCAGACCTTCTGAAAGCCAAGAGAATCTTCAAAAGCTTAGTTCCCTGAGGAATTGCACAAACTTTGCTGTAGTGGGTAGGAGAGGCCCTTCCAAATAAACACAAATATCACATTTATGGGACAAAGGAGTGAGTGTCATGTTTTGAGGGAACAGTGATTACTAACCATATAATTAACGGTTTACAACAACTCAGAAAATTGTATGCTGCTTCCCCAAATATCAGCTTCCACTACAATGAGTCATATTTACCAAAGTGCTCTTTTTTCCTTTAAAAAGAAGCCAGTAAGTCAATTTTCCACAGACGATCTCTAGTTGTAGTTCTTACCTTTCTCCTCACAGCACACTGCCTCCAAAAACCTTGAAACCACTTCATCTAGGACATGCATTCAGCCAATGGGAACAGAGCTTTGCTAACTGAATACTGTGGGTATCCAAATATTCTGTGCATGCAAAAAACCATCCTATATGTGAACATTCCAATATTTGTGGGGAGGCAATAAACCATAAATGGAGCACCTTTCTCAGATTTCTAGCATTTGAAAACTGAAGTTTGGGCAGAAGATAGCAGTCAAGAGTAAATGGCCAGTGATGTCTCTTTGATACATTTAAGAGAAGCCTCAAAACTATTTATTAACTACCTGGGATTGAATTCCATGACTTCCAGGTAGTTAATAGTTAGGGGGTTTCCTTATCTTTCACCCTTGGGAAAGAAGGAAGCATAGATCTTTTTCTCTACTCTAGGTCGAATGGGAAGCTACCTACTGGAATATTCCTTCCTTGTCATCCTCCTCAGTTAGCCTTCAACGGGAGATGGGACAGAAGAGAATGAAGGAAAAGAGATTACCAAGAGGGGGTGCAGGGTGGAAGAGACCAGAGATATCTTGGCACAAATCATGTATTTCTGGTAGGATTTTTCAAATCCTCTCCAAAGGAACACAGATAAAATTTCTCCAGGTCTTCAGCCTCATATCTGATCTAAATCTGCAGGAACCTGGGGAGCACTGGCATTCTATATAGAAAGAAGACAGGAACACAAAAGCCCAAAGCCCAAAGAAAATAAGAGCACAGGATGCAGAGAAGGTGCAGAGTGTGGCCGGAACAGGCAGAGGCTTACTCGGGGAGGGCGGTGCTGAATCCTTGCTCGGGCCACTTTCTGCTTGTTGACGATATTCATCAGTTTGATGGCATCTGCGCCCTTCACATATACCACTGGCCTCTTGAGTGGGTCTTCTGAGCCTTGGTTTAGCTAAGGAAGAAGAGAGAGCCCTGGTTATTAAGACTAGAGTACCATCAGAAGCAGGACAGAAAAAGAAAGGCTGGAGGCAAAGAATACCAAATACCCACTCGGAAATTCTCTAACTTCTTGAGCATAATAGTCTTGGAGCTCCCAGAAGGGCAAAGTTGAGGGTGATAGTTGTTTTAGGATAGACTGGGTAAGGCTGAAGGTCAAGAAGGGTCTTTGAAAATGCCTCCCAGGCCCTGACTTCCTATCCCCTCTCAATATATTTGCCTTCAAGTGTGATGTCCACACCTGGGCATCTAACGTCGACCAACTACAGAGGCCCTGGGTGACATGATTGTGACAAGCCAAACTAACTAAAGGACTCTCCCAGGGAGCATTGGTGTGGCCAGAGGAGCTTACCTGGTCGATAGCTTCTGGGTTTTCAGACACATCAAAGATGACTGCAGTGGCTCCCCGCTGCACTGCTCGCTTGGCCTGGCAGAGTGAAAAAGAGCAAGTTGGCACCCTCATCCTCTTACATGTCCAAAGCTGGCTTTGGAAATTAGACATGGATTTGAAATTCAGACTCTGACAGTTATTAACTTATGTGACTTTGGACAAGTCATATAACTTTCCTAAGCCTCAACTGTCCAGGAACCTGTGAAAAAGTGAGAGATGCCACCTACCTTGTATGGTTATCCTGACACCACGTGACTTAGAATAGTGAAAATAATTAACTGGGTACTCAATTAACATTTGTTTTCCTATCCAGCGTAAACATTAAAAACAAACTATAAATCAACAACCTGCCTAGTCAGCATAGAGGTATTGGTTTCAGTATTTTCTGCTATGAACACAGAACTACTGGCAAGCAAAGTAAATGCCTTTGGTCCTTCTCTTGTGGTCCTTCTTCCTTCCCATGTCACCCAGCACCACATTTAGAATGCATAATGAATATTTCTGAAGGAATCTCAAAATGGTCAATTTTAATAACTAACAGGCCTAAGAACTTTGGAGATGCCGTCAGAGGGAAAAACTATAAGGAAGAATTGTAAATGGGGATTTAGAGCAGTTGGCTGACAAACCTGGCTACACAACAAAAACCACTTGGGAAGTTTGTAAAGCAGATTTCCTGGCACAAACCACAGAGACTGATTCAGCAGGGTTGGAGTAAGGCCTAGGAAACTGAGTTCTGAGTTTGCTAAGGAATTCTGATGATTCAACCACTTGGGGAACTATTGATCACAGAGATCAGATTAGAATGTTTCGGGAACAAATAAAAAGAGACAGAATTCTTTTTGGGGAGAAAGGACTCCTTTCTAGCCCGATGAATCATCAAATTTCATGTTCACCTCAGTGGACAACAAGGTAGAAGCTATTGAAGAACAAGACATAAGCTATAACCCTTTCTTTTAGGAGCCTGAATCTTGTTAGGGAAATAAGAGAATCCTCTAATGCGGGGGCAAAACAACCAAAACACAAAAAACAAGCCTCCTAAGTTTGACAAGGCAAATGACAGTGCTCAGAGTTCAAGAGTCTTGATGGACCAGAATGCTTGAGAAAGAATAAAACCTAATTCCTTCCTTAAGAATAATCAATTAGGGCCTCACGGATGGCGCAGTGGTTGAGCACTGGGCTGCAAAGCTGCCTGCAGCCTCTGCAGCGCCAGTTTGATCCCCGGCCACTGGGGAGGGTCCCACATGGTGCGCAGACCTCTCCTGCAGCGCCCGCTGCTCCGCTAAGCAGTGTACCTCGGTCCTTCTGCCTGTTCTGCTCCCAGCTCTGGCTCTGGTGAATTCTCTCACCCTCCCGCGCTTCTGACTGTACCCAGTGCTTGTATAAATAAATAAATAAATCTTAAAAAAAAAAAAATTCAACCACATGGATGCAGTGTAAGGAAGTAACACTGAATTTAAGTAGAAGAGAAAGTGGTTAGACTAATGGTTCCAGCAGACCACTAGAGGGCAGTCTTATCACACAGCTTTTACAGACCATTTCCTGTACTTTGTGTCAAACAATCCTCAAGAATACTGAAATCTGGGCAACTTAAAAAATCCGGGCATCCTGGGTGCCTTGCTGCAGAAATTGCCATTGTTCTGCCGGGGATTCTTTCTTGTTGAACTGAGAGTCAATGTATTTAGAGTCTCCTCTGCTGATTGTCCATACCATCTCCTTTCATCACTACAGCGCTTACAGTCAGGAGTGACTCTTGGGAGCTATGCCTGGCTCTGCCACTGACACCATGACAATGATGGACAAGTCACTCAATCTCTCTAAGTCTCAGTTTCTCCACCTGTAAAAGGAAGGATGCTCTGTTATGACTAGGGCTCCTTCAGTTCCTAATCCTAGCCAGTCTATCAAGTGGCAACAGACCGTGCAGAACAATGCAGAAAGACCTATCACCTCTCCAGCAAGAGAGGACGTAATGGCACAGTGAGGTCAGGTGGTACCACTTTCCCCCACAAAACTATTTAGAGGCACAGACTCCTTTACCCAAAGCTAATAGCTTGTGGGACCCCAGCGCTAATGGCAAGGAGGTGCTTGTGTCTTCTACTTAGGTAGGTCTTTTTCACAAATTCTTTTCCTAGATATAGAAGGGTCCAAAGGAACAGCACTGAAAGCAAGGTAATAAACAAGACCTCTTTCCTTTATTTGGCATTCATACCATGATCAAGTTCATCAAAGAGCAGCTGAGGGGACTATGCATTCAGAATAGTCTTGATGGGGAGCACCCAGCACCTCCAATTTTGATACTGGTACACCTGCAAAGTCTAGTGGTCATGGGAGAATATGCTGCAGGACCTGGGGTAGTGCTGTGCCTTCAGCCACATGGCCTTCTGTGTTTTCAGGCTTCCCTGCACCACATAAAGTCTTGAGGATTTGGAGGTGAGGCATGACTCATTTGGGACATGCACAAAAGGCATTTTTATAAAAATCTAGGAGAGGTGAGCAGTTTTCTAGTGAATAGACCCAAGCTGAGAATAAGGTGTTTTAATCTTGCTTACAACTTGATTTCAGACGCAGCCAACCAGGCTAATGTAGAGGATCCAAGTACAAATATTTTGCTTAAGAAAATGCTAATTCTCACAATTGGTTTGCTTTAATAATTGTTTGATGGGGCCTCCCTGGTTGGCGCAAGGGGTTAAGCATCAGTGCCACGAAGCAATCTGCAGCTATTGCAGCACAAATTCAATCCCCAGTCAGGGAGATGACCTACATGGTGCAGCAGACCTCTTCTGTCTTGCCCCTGCTCCCCTCAACAGTGTATTTCAGTCAATCCGCCTGCTCTGCTCCCCATTCTGTCTCTGGTGAATCCTCTCACCCTCTACACCTCTGGCCTGTACCCCAGTTCTTGTATTGCATAAATAAATAAATTAAAAAAAATAGTTTGATGTTAAGTTGCTATTATAATAAGGTTGCGTTTCCTGTACATACAGGATTGGATAGGAGGGGAATTAACTCAGGATCCTGTTGGGAACTAACCTCTCAAGAGTCTGTTTAGGATTAAAATAGGACATGAATAATCCATAGTTAGAAAATGAGACCTTGGCAGCAATCCCACTGCCCACCTGTGACTATGCAGGTGCCTCTTTTCACCAACTCTGTCCCTCTGCAGGGCAACACCTCCCTGCCTGCCCGTGACCTGTATCTGCCGGGACTTCTCTTCACTGACCTCCCTCAGCGGAGGCCGCTCTCCTCCAGGTTGCCCACCTGCGACCATGCGGGCCTTTCTTAGCAAACCTGTTCCTTCAGGGCAGCTCTTCCTGCCCGTTTCTGACTATGCAAGTGTCTTTTACTCTTCTGTCCCGCTCTCTAACAAAGCTGCTCTTTTAAATATTTAAAAAAAAAAAAAAAAGGAAGAAAAAGAGACCTTTATTGTGCTATTCTCCAACCAAATTAAAAACAAAACACAGAGCACTGCTTGCTGACACCCCCTTTCTTCACATTTTCTGTTTAAAATTTGATGAGACATATTTCTTGAACTAATTTTCATACATCATTTATCATTTTACCTTTGGCCAGAATATGATTTCAAACAAATCTTAACCATAGTTGGGAGATTACTAGTCCTGTGACTGCTAGAAATGCAATCTTTACAAAGTCACACACCTCATTTCCAAGGCTATTTCAAAAAAAGGAGTGAAAAGATGCAGCCTGGCGGATGTTGCTGTTTGAAGGTCACTGGTACACTGGGCTGTGTTGGAGAGGGCAGTAACCTTGGGATTGTGCATAGACTCGAGCAGAAAGACAAGCATGAGAAGGGTATAAGCAGCAGAAAGCAGCTAAAATGGCTCAGCAAGACCTCCCAGAAGCAGGACTTCTGCATGTCGTTCCCCTTCCACTCTACCACATAGGTATTTCCTACCACACAGGTACTTTTACATCTTTCATTACCTTTACCACTTCGTTCGGGCTAGGGCAGGTAGATATCGGCCAGAAGATGACCAGAAGCCCATTAGCAAATGTGGAATAAAAAGTTTACCATGGTTCTTCTATTAATTGTCTTTCCAGGCCTGTAAGACCCAAGACTAGACAATGCCCACAGACACTGAGACAAGAATCTAAGGTGCAAACATCTTTAGACTGACATTTTGAGAACTACAAAATGTCAGCTCTTAAAAGACAGGGTCCTACGGTGATGGACACTTACTGCAGTGCAAAACTCATTGTTATTCAATGCATGTTTGTTTTAAATGAAAGTCTGCTTGGGACCATACTCTTGGGGTATTGTTCCCCGGAGGTGGATGTGATATCCCCTGCTAAGGAGGTGCTCCTATCAATATGATTTGAGTCTAGAATTTCCAGATGTGACTGGAGCATTCTGATGAAAATAGTACTGTTACCACTTTGCAGGTAAACTTAAAACCTAGAGTCTGTTTCAATTTTAATTAAATTCAGGGATTTAATTAAATTCAGGGATTTCCATCAGGAATGGATCTGGCACGTTTCTTGCTACGTGCAGTCACACCCAGATTTGATCTGGGGCTTGGTTCTACCCTGACACCTACTCCCTGGGGCACAGATTCCTTCTTTTGCCTGTTGTTTATCTGTTCTTTTGTTGAACACTTGGATGTAGCATCCCCAGTGTGCCTAACCTTTATTGTAGGAAAGCTGACAGACTAGAACCTTAATTGGATATAATCCAAGCAATGTAAAAAAAAAAAACAATTTTCCCCCAAACTCCTGTCCATAGGATAATCAAGAAAGTTGGATTGTTAGTGCTTAAGTGTGCTCAACCTGTCACAGGAAGTTCTGACAAGAGTGCTCCAAGTGAACTTTTTTGGGGCCTCTATTGAATACTTTTGCATTGTTTTGTTTCTTCGCACTTAGTGTAAGCTTTCAACAAATCATTAAAAATTCTTTGTAAACATTTTACTCATTCATACATTTTAGATATTTGGGTTATTCAAGTTTTTATTATAATGAATGCTACACTGAATAAATTTCACTACTTTTCTGCTTTCCTTAAGATGGAAGATCAAGTGCCAAAGAAT